AATATTCCGTTGACAATTTCTTTTAACGGCTTATTCAAATCTGCGCAAGCACAGATAAAGTTCAAAAGATCATGCCAATGTTCCACAGATAATAAATAAAGTGCAACAAGGCAGGAAGACAAGTGTGTCTGGTATGACCAATTGCAAACAGGGCCAAGGGTCGTGAGCTAATGTTATCGCACCGAAGGTTAAGGCAAACCACCATATGGCGATAATACATACATTTCCTTAGGGTTGCAATTCACGACAGTTGCCAGACAAAAGCACATCATTTAATAATAATATGCTTTAAATACACGTAAAGTAATGACTGTAGTTTACATGAAAATAACAGTTTAAAACGCAAAATATATAAGATTTACAAATTATTTTAACTACGGTCCGACTGGGAGGGACCAAATAATGGGGAATAAATGATAAACATGTAATAATTCGCGTTTTAAACCGTTGAAGTTTTTTGTTTAAATGGCTAACGGACCTAGATGATTTCCATATAAACACGATGTTGTGTAGTTAGATCTGATAATTCATACAGAAGAAATTATTTAACATTTCAATGAAAATAAATTATGCAAGTTGTTTGCATAATAAATGGATCCTTCTATAGTCGTATTTCTGTAAATTATAAAGGTTTTAAGAGGTGTGTGAGGAAAAAACAATTTCACGGTTGAATTTCAATCGTACGCTCCGCGTTCGTAGAATTGATTAATTCGGGCAGTTAAATATCGTTTAAAAATGTAAAATACATTTTAAAATCTCTGCGAAAGATCTAAATGAAAGATATTTATAACATAATTATTATAATCTACAATTTTAAAGTAACTATTCTTGCTCTATAATCGGGCAATTAATACACTCGATACACAAACGAGCACTAGTTGTAGTGATTTGAATATTGATCAAAATATCTAGTTCCAAAGACAAGCTGGCTTTCTCTTGCGGCTTTCTACTACCTCAGAACTCAATTAAAATTATCAAACAAGGATTAACTAAATACTGACTTTAGTTTAAGCGAGTAGTACACATTTAACGAAATACTTTAAACGCGTTAAAACGCGAAATCTTAAATAATGCCATTGTTCACGGTATGAAAGGTGAGATATATTAGCCCGACGTCTCTGCAAAGCATCCGAAACGTCGGGCCGAAGTTAAAAATCATTTTTAAATAAGTTTAACTAATATATCGCGTTTTAAACCGTTAAAGTGTTTTATTTAAATTATATAAAATTTCACGTTTAAAACCGTTTATTATACATATAACATACTAGTAAGTATGTTATATGATATATACTACATATATTGCGAGTTTTAAGCCCAGTAAGTGTTTTATTCTAAAGATCAACTAAACAATTACTTATATTTAAGTTGCAAGAAAATGAAAGGAATTTTCTTATTTAACGGATTTCATAAATTATCGTATTGATAAGAAAACTGCGCATTGGACTTGAAATAATTTTTATTGTTCAAATAATGTAAGAGTTTATGCCAGTATATCAAATAGATTGGGGGGGCGGGTTACACTAAAGAAAGAATTCCTCTTTAAATGATCTATAAAAATGCAACAACAGTAAATATCTCTTAAAATTAACTTGCAAGAACGACGAACTATGAAGAGGTTTGCAAAAAGAAATTTGGATGCCCAAAACAACTATTCCACGCGGACGAAGTCGCTGACACAGCTAGTGTTAGTATAGATTCGTGAGTTGTAAGGCTTCCTACACCGTGACATCATTCGGCCCACGCGAATGGCCTTCACGATGTTTGTACTTTTGCTAATTCGCTCTGCACACTTCAAACTTACTTGCCGTGTGGGTGGAAGGTACACAACTTGACACTGTTTGAAATTTTAGGCCACAGATTATAAATAACACTATTGGGCTAATTAATAATGTATTTAGTGGCGTTAGGTGTTGAAAATAAATACCACACCCACACTTGCCTTTTAAAAGCAGCTCGTTTAAATAAAACACTTTTAACGGTTTTAAAGGCAAAGCTCTTTTGTCGTTAAAATAGTAGATTTAAGACGTTCCTATGTAACGCTTATTAAAGATTTGAGTTCTAGTCGTTTGAACTATTAACCACAATCGATATGAAACTATGCTTTGGTATAGTTACAAATAAAACGTTCTCGTCGCAATCAGTTTAGTTTTCTTTTTATTTTTATGTAATACCCGGACAAACAAACAGACAAACAACTAAACATGTTTGTCTGCACACTTAAAAACTTTCGTAATCAAAATCTTTTTATACGTCTCAAGTACAAGTAACACCCACCAGAGGTATGTTGAAAACTAAACCTTATATTTATCGCTTCGAATCGCTATGAATTCACAGAGTAGGTTGTGTATTGTCTGTGGTAAAAGGTATTAAATTTCCTTCTCTCAGGGTAGCTGATACGGAACTTTCTCCTCATTGTAACTTATGTTCACTACCAATCTAAGTTTACAGTGTCAGATTGTAAATAATACCGCTAAGTTCGCAGAATGATTTTGCGCTTGAGGTCAAATATTATCTTTATCGATGTTTGTAATTATTGTTTCCCAATAAATAGTGTTTTTTGATATGTCAGAGATCTTAATAAATATCATAGAACAAATCTCAGTATTTTGGCTGTCAAGTGTCTATATGATAGATAAGGACAGACAAGTCTTCACAAGGAGTTTACTTGATGGAGGTGAAATATCGTTATCGTTTATCGTTATATTGTTTCCCCTAAACTCGGACCTACGACCGCGACATCGCGTTTAACGCAATTCTACTCAACACGGGCAAAGTAGGGAATGTTTAGATCATAGTACAACTAAATACTATTAAAACTTCGTTTACTATTGAAGTAAGTTTAGTAGAATTTATGGGTTGAAAATATCGTAGTTCCTAAAACCCTGGGCAAGTTTAATCCCCGTTCATCACAAACAAATGTTTTCCATTATAAAGTTGCGTTAGCGTAACTTTCGCATTCAATCAATTTAATGGCGCGATGGCGCGACTGATGGAAAAACTCGCGTTCAAATATTGAAAAGTTTTGTCGGCTTAAGCGCCGGCGTTTTAAAAATCGATGGCATTTATCATAGGCTTTTTTATACCTTTCTTTTATTTTGTTGGATATAAATTATTTTATGACAAAAGTAAGATTGACCTGTTCTTCGCAGCAGTGTTGATAACATCTGTAGCCAAAACGCCAGGCTAGTATATAGCTAAAGGTAATGTAATAAAGCTGCGAATCGTACTTATTTTGGTAACCGACCAGTTTCGACAAATACCAACTATGGCGTAAAAGATGGCGCTAGGGTAGCAATTATTACTTTGACATTAGGTACATCCTCCAACTAGCATTAACAAGCATTCATAAACGGAGAAAATATTCGCTTTCGTTTTGAAAATAGAATTTATTTATATTAAAAATTGTTTTATATATTTGTAAATGCTAAATATATTTTGACGAGACTTTTACTAGTCGCATTAATAACACGCGAGTACGCTTGCAAAACATCTCTAGTAAATAATCTTGTAAGAAAAGAGGTTTTAACCTTCGAAATCAAATTTATGACCATAAACGAATTGTCTTTGGCATGTAAGCCTGTCCTTGATTCGTTGCATGACGGCACATCAAAGTGGATATTTGATTGATGCACGCGACATGCATAATTTTCAAGGTTCATTGAACCATTTCGTATGGTATCGAGAGGAGAATTGCCTTTACTTTTCGCGGAAATTGAAATTTAGGAAGGTCCCGCTGCGGAAATAGATTTTGGATTAATACAATTTTAAATTTTTTTGTAATGCCCGAAATTATGAACGCAATAATTTAGTATATTGTAAAATTAAATAATAAGTACCAAAATGCTTTAAAACAATCTGCATATCTAACATTTCTTGTTGATACGAGACGAAGACCCATTTCGTCCAGTGCTTACAACACATACACTATTAAAATCGATGTGAGCCACCTTTAGACGTTTTTCACGTCTAAAGGTGGCTCACATCGATTTTACTTACTCTAAATATCAACATATTTAAAAAATTTATTATTTTTGACATGTTATTGCACATGGCACTATATAATTTAAAAATCGTGCAAACAGCACGGTATGCTGTCGATGCCGGTTCAAGTCCTGCCCGAGTCGACATTATTTTTAATTTATTTTCGATTTTTAAAACATATTTATATTTAAATACTGTCTATAGTTTACGCGAGTAGTACACCTTTAAATAAAACACTTTAACGGTTTAAAACGCGATATGTTAGTTAAACTTATTTGAAAATGATTTTTAACTTCTGCCCGACGTTTCGGATGCTTTGCCGCGTTTTAAACCGTTAAAGTGTTTTGTAAACTATGTAATAATACTACATAATTCTAAATAAGATGTAAATATTTTTTTTCATTATAATTAGGTTATAAAAATAAACAACGATAGTTGACATGGACACATTTATCGTTGAATTTGAATCGAACTTCCATCTTGGAGCAAAAAGTCAACTTGAAACCCTTGACCGGTAGAGGCAGAGTTTTATCACCTTGTTTCTCTGAATTCGTGTTCATTACGACTGCTGTATGATGTAATTGCTTGAATTACAAACAAATTCTTTAAAAGGTTATCAGTTACATAACTATAGCCTTCTTGTAATGATTTAAAGTGAATTTCATATTTTATATCAATATCACAGTATAAGGTTATTCGACTTGATTTTCAGTTACTTAATATTTTTAAATTAAAATATGCGCTAAACTTTGGCACACATAATATTTAGACTATAATTCTGACAGCCTAACATTAATTGATAGTATAAAATTGCTGAAATTTATACTAAATAATAATATCTTCCAATATATTAATCAAATCTCGCAGTTTTGTATATTTCTGGATCTAAAAGCAAAAACGTTTAATTGGCTTTCTGAAATAAATATATAAATAGTGTATGTGAAAAAGAGAACGCAAGTCCTTAAATTATTTTTATCAGTAGTCAAAGAAAAAAACTTAAATAGCATGTTCCATTACAGGAACAAAGAAGATGGAGTACAAGACGAGGCAGTGGCACGAGAAGTGCTTCTGCTGCGTGGTCTGCAAGAACCCGATCGGGACCAAGAGCTTCATTCCGCGCGAACAGGAGATCTACTGCGCCGGCTGCTACGAAGACAAGTTCGCTACTCGCTGCGTCAAGTGTAATAAGGTGAATATTAGAACAATATTTTACATACAGGTGGGTGTGAACCCGCGGCGGACGGCGTGACATTGAAACCGCAATACAAAATCTCAAAACATTGATTCATGTAGGTAAGCTAGGTACAGTTATGGGCTTTGGAGTCGTACAAACGTGTTTCCAGGGATGGTGGTCTCTGGTCAGCTATTGTCTCCGAGGAAGGTGTAGTGCGATTTACCCCGTTGTTGTTACTCACTATTGCCCGTTGGTGTAATGATAACGATGGGTGTATCAAAGGGTCCAACATTTTTCTAATCAATCACCACACGACGAACCACCGTCGACAGATAAAAAAGACCCTGAAGTTTAATCGCGCTTTGGTTAGTCTGTGGATTTCCGAATATCCAAAGCCAAAATAGGTCGGACGCGCATCTTGCGTAAATGCTTTACGCTGGGGTATTTCACATACCGTCAAGTGAACTCCACGTTTGTCTGTTCTCCTCTATCTTAAGAAAAAAACTCTTTCTTACCCAATGGAAGTGGATGTTCCTTTGATTATTGTAATAGCGCTAAACATCATCACGTCTATTTCAGATCATAACGCAAGGCGGAGTGACGTACAAGAACGAGCCATGGCATCGCGAGTGCTTCACGTGCACCAACTGCGACACGTCGCTGGCGGGCCAGCGCTTCACGTCGCGCGACGAGAAGCCCTACTGCGCCGAGTGCTTCGGGGAACTCTTCGCTAAGAGGTGCACCTCTTGCACCAAGCCTATCACCGGTTAGTAGCCATGGCACGAAATGAACTTGTCTATTAGCACATGGGCAGGCAAATCGTAACAGATATTCTATGTGTAGTTTAAGTACACTTTTAAACACAATCGGTTTAAAACGCGATATATATGAGTTACACTTATTACGTAACTACGGCCCTACGTTTAACATGCTTTGCAGGAGCCGTGGTCATGAGGAGACATGGCCAAATAAATTAAACTTATATATATCATGTTTTAAACTCAAAGTGGTTAGTAAAAGATATTTATAACATATTTGCTCGTAAAGTGGTTGTAATTACACCAATTTCAATATCGTAATGTGTCTCATTACGTACTTGTGCGATAATGTAATGTAAAAGGCACGTGTTTTTTTTAATTAAGTTTTAAGATACTCCGTCTAAAAATGAACGATACTTTTTAAAATCTCAGCAAAGAGGTTTTATGTCAAGGTGGTTTTAGGTCAATATTTTATGAATAAAATTAACTTTGGGAAATAAAATATAACAAATAAACATTTAATTCTTTAATTTAATTAATTTTGACAATAAATTACAACCATTTATTTGTAACAAAAACACAAAAATATTATATTTACTTTATTAGTAATACTGGCTGTTTTTGTGTACCTTTGCCTAAATAAAAACGTTGATACGCGTGAATCGCTTATTTGTGGACAAGTAAAAATAATTCCGCGCGCTTAGTAATTATTATATATACATAATCTCACCGCACTTATATCATAATGTACTATTATTCTATATGGTATGACTAGTTTTTAAAGGAAAATAGTATGATTGCCCGGGATAATCGTGAATATGAAATCCTTTTTCTCTGTCTGAAGGGACGTCACGTCTGCACTTTTAAATGTCCGTTTTAATCGTTAATTTTGGTTCTGGTCTGCTGTATGTCTACTGACTCAGAAAAGGCAATTTTTACCCAAGTAAAGCTTAATTCGTTGTGCACCTAGCGCCATCTATGTTTTGTTTAGCGAAACTCCGGGACCTCTAAATTAATATTTTAACTCTTAGAATTCAGCATCACATCAACTTTCAATTATTATTATATTAATGTTAAGAAGTAACTTTTTAACTCATAATTTAACAATGTTTTCTTTGGTGAGATTATAAAATAGCGTAAATATGTTGTGGATTTAAAAGTTGCTCTTCTTTATTTCAGGCATCGGCGGCACCCGCTTCATCTCTTTCGAAGACCGACACTGGCATAACGACTGCTTCATCTGCGCTCTGTGCAAAACCTCGCTAGTTGCTAAAGGGTTCATCACCAACGGCCCCGACATAGTCTGCCCCGAGTGCGCCAAGCAAAACCTCATGTAAATACCACTTCCACTCTCGCGCTGACTACGAGCGACCGACGACCGACGATCTAACGGAATATTCACGCTTGTTTTTTATATGTGCTTTTTACATCACTATCTTTAAAAAAACCAGCGCAGTGCGCTTAATATTTGAATGTCCATGTATAGTCTGTTAATATCTTTTTTTCGATTTAAAAACGCGAAGTAATTATTTTCTAGCAAATGTGCTATTATAATTATATATTAATATTAATGAATATTCTCTTCAAGACTACAGACTATAGCACATTGCACAGACTGTAACAATAAAGATATGACAAGCGAATTTACGCGGGAATTGACGAGTAGCTTTCTAAAGCTTGCTTCTGTAGCGTGTACTAACATTGACTGATATGTTTTTGTGGTTGTACAGCGACGTTATAGTACTGCCACTAGTAGCTAACGCGAGAGACTGGATCAAGTCCGATACAGACCAGATACCAGGCGTACAACTGACCGATCTGGTCGGTCGCTTCCGCAAGGCCAACCTTAAGTCACGTGCCGCGAAATAATATTTTTATACGAAAAAAAACCCTCCAAAAAATCACAAAAAAATGTGGATGCACAAAACCGAGTATTTAATTTCGCTTTTTTACTATTTATTTAAGGTGTTTATATATTTTGATTGTTTAACTATTGTTACTAAACGTCTACATTGTATCGCTAATATATCGCTTTGGCTGTTGTATTTAGTCCTTTGGGTATTAAGTTGATACCTAGTGCAATTCACACGATGCCTTAATAACATATCTAAGTCAATTTGAGGGTATATACTTTGTGTTGTTATCGTAATCGTTCTAATTTATTCGACAACACAATATACGTCTCGTGCTAGTAGATTTCGATTTTTATTATTAGACTATACGAGGTTTAAGTGCTTGATATTGTTTAACGCGTAACATAGTGCTAAGTTCGACAGAGTAACGATAAGTATTTATTGACACGGGCCGCTGTCGTCTTAAGACGCCGCTAGATGTCGCCACGCCATCGGAATAGCTTCCTAACCCTAAAATTGTTGACTTAATGTCTAGGTTCTACTAATAAAAATAATCGGTTTTGAATAGAGCCTTTCGTGTTATGTAAATGTTATATCTATTTTTACATGATATTTTTCTAGCTTAGTGTATTAAGTGAGTAACATCTAGGCGAGACCACGAAGTCAGGGGAACACTTTTTAAGGGTTAATTGTTAAGGGATAAATTATTGAAATGTTGATGACAGATTATATTTATAATGTGTACACATTTTAAGCTGCTTACCTGTGTGATCTGATCTAATATTCTTGTATTTATGTACCCATAGATTGTATTATATTATGAATAAATTAAATTATCAAAAGTAACTTCATTGGTCGTTGTTATTTCAACCCTTTCCCTATCTAATATAATGCCTAACTAAAACAAATATGGAGGCTTACGCACAGTTAAAATCATAACGAAGATGAATGGTTTTGTCTTCACTCAAAAAATAATTGATTTATTTTTTTATATTAAATTATACATCAGAATATTAAAAGTTATATCATAATGACTACGCTTAGCTTAACAATTTACATATACAAGTTAGATAAACTCAATGTATTTATATGAGTTACCATATAATAATAAAATGGCTTTGACATCATCACGTTAGGAACACATAGTAAAGCAAATAATAATTTAAATAACCTAAATAGTTTCAGTAAATTCATGCTTGCATTTCATAAAAGTGTGAAAATCAATTATTCTAGTTTATGAAGCATTGTTTGGTACCATAGCAATAGAAGCCCACAATGCTGAACCAAAGACATGGTCTTTTGTCCCTCTATTCTTTCCAGTTGAAAAGACTACAAAAAAGCTCAAGAAGAATAAATGTCATTTGTAAAGACCTCATCGTCATATCAGTCTGTCCCAAAATACTTCATACCAAAATGATTTGGTGCTACTGGATGCAATTCAGATGTAAGTATCTTCATTTTGGGTACATAATCAACTACTGCTTGAGCGGCTGCCGGAGTACAGAAAAGATTTGAGAGGATAATCCGTTCTTCTTTTACACCATGCTGAGTTAGGACATTCACTGCCTGAAAATGGTATAATAGTAAATGCATTTCTGTCCGCATGTATATGACAGCTTTTGTAAATCACATACTGTCTGTAGTTGATGCGAATAGTCCACATTTATAAGAACACTTCAACGATTTAAACCGTGATATATATATTTCTTAGATGGTCTGCAAAGTATCCGACACGTCGGGCTGTAGGTAAAATAATATTTAAAAAAGTTTAACTAATATATATCGCGTTTTAAACCGTTAAGTGTTTTGTATAAAAGCTTTTATAAATTCTAAATAAAGACCCTTTAATATATAACATACATATTAATGCCTACATAAAAAATTTGAGTCTTGAAAGAATACATTTAAATCTGCCAAATTAAGAAGAAGAAAAATTACTACATACTTGTATTATAAATTTGTTAAATATACCTTTAGGCATGTAAGATAAGGATAAACTGATTGAAATACCATAAAGTTAATAAATGTATAGCAAAATACACACCTGCTTAACAGTGTTCCCAGTAGACATAATTGGATACATGAGGAGGACTTGCCTCCGAGCAATATCTTCAGGAAATTTGGCATAGACAACATGGGCTTCATGAGTATCATTGTCACTCTCTACTAATATCTTACCAATGCGAATGGATCTACAGCAGTCACGGAGACCCTGGAAATTTTTCTATTTTTTTAACTGTATAATGATAATAATATAAAACAAACCTTATAGGGTGTGTAAGGTAACGATTACAAATAGTTATCCAATACATTGTTTGACAAATAATTAGGGAGAGGATTTAATTGTATTAAAAGTGTATAGAGCAGTTAAATACAATTAACTATAGAAGTATGATGTGCTTTGAGAGCTCATATAGCAATGCAAGTGTGTATAGAATTCCAATTTAATCGATGCTAACCTATTATTTTCTAATGGGGATACCAATAGAAGGCCTGGTGATCAGTCCACACCTTCAGCTAACCATAACCCATTTCCCCACTACTTAGCAGAGCTCATTGGATACAATGCTCAGCTCAGTCTCTGATTGGTGTTTTATTAAAATGCTGGTCAACCCAGAAAGAGAGTGACTAATGTGTATGAGGAAGGTGTGTTGACACTATAATAGTACCAGAACTGGTATGCAAAATTGTAATCCAGTAATTTTGATGTTCAAAATTACTACCTTTGTAAAGGCAAGTTGGAGCTGATAACGGCACATGAAGGAGACATACGTAAAATTAAACAACAAAATTATCAAATTCAACAATTGTAAAGCCTGGACTCTCTTACTGGAAACTCTTTATATAGATTCCCCATATTCCAAAAATGTAATTACACTCCGAACAACCCAATAGCTGTCTTTCTTTAAATTTTTTCTTCATTTTTAGATTGTTTTCACTGTTTGAAATATTATTCTATTTGTGTAATTGGTTATCTATTTTTAAGGCAGGACTTATCTGCTATATTTGGGTGACTAGTGCGGCAAAGTTCGGACGTGTTTTTAAATCTATATAATATAATTTTATCCCAAATATGAGTGTCATGAGGTATTATGATCGCTATTATTACAAAGAATTTCATAAGACTTGCCTGCTCCATAGCTTCACCCGACCGTACAATTGATACACCGCAATTCCCTGAACCATACTTCAATCCTTTGTATAGCGCTCCGGTCGGAGTAACCACTTCGCAGTCAGTAAATGGCAATTTATTTAGACTCTCTTCTATCACCAGACGAATCAGGCGATCTGCATAAAACTTGAAATCACTGCGCGTTGTATTCCTACGAGAATAGACCTCTTTAAAAGATCTCCAAGAATTCGCAACAGTTACGAACCAAGACTTTTGAATATATCTAAAGATAACCTTACTTATCGCGGAGTATTGTTTGTAGTTCTTTAATGTTGTCGTTTGGCGGTAAAAGCGTTACACTGTCTCCAAATTGTTCTTTCACTTCATTTACATTCAATTGTCGAATATCATTATCGATTAAATCCATTTTGATTTGTTTTAAAGCTTTAGGTATTGAATATTGTGGTTCAGCGAATCGATCTGAAATTAGACTTGTAAAACTTGTATAATGTCAATGTCAGTTTGACATTTATAACAGATTATGTAATTAATATTAAGACAATATTGTGTCGTACATAAATAGCAGGATAGGATATTCTAGTCTAGCCTTTATTGTTTTTATTGCAATAAATAAGCACTTTTAACTGTTCGGCAATTGTGCGTTTATAACTTTGTCCCACTTTATTTTTTATCACGCTTCGTTCATTAAAATATCTTATACTCATAAATATATATCTTATGATTAACTTATTGCCTAAAAATATCTTATTATATTGATAGGTGTGGGACCTAGACTATCCAATAAAACGCCTATCAATGGTAAAAAAAGGCCAAAACTAATAGATCTAACTTGTAATTTATCATTCTAAATAGACAACCTATATAAGTTGAACTTTGTTGGATATATATATTTCCCGAACTAAGTTAACTTATTCGTTATCACAGCTTATTAATAAAACTCAAAATAAGACGCATTAACGCTTTATTTGCCCACAAAATACAAATTAATAATTGAATGTTGTCTGTTTCCAATCCTCGTATCTTACAACATATTGTAACTTTACAGTCGGCTTTTATTTGAGACCACAAAACATTCCACAAAAATATATCTTCGAATATAGTATGTAGTGTGTTAAATTTGTTCTAGCTACACGCTAGGCTCACCTCTTCATGTAAATGCGAGAGAAATTAAAAATAAATGCGACTTCATCAGAGCCTGGCACTACATTGCATAATCTTTGTAGCCACAGAGTAAAATTACTACCTATTTTACACTTACTGTACAAGCAAATTTTCATATTTTTAAAGTCTAAACATAACCTGAAACAACAGATGTAAACAAACTAAGCTTTTAAACTTAACACCAAGCATAATCTGGCATTTACATGATTTTAGTATCGGCTCGACATTAAAAATTATTTTCGGAATATTTACAATTTTGAATTTGTAACAACACGCCGATTATCTGTGGAGGGGCCGTCATAGTTAATTCGGCGTGCTATTTCTGCGTGCTATTTCTAAAAGCTTATCTAGAAAATGTGGCATAACAAGCACCAATATAATATTAAACTGCTAAGGAACCTGCACGATATATACAATAAAACGCAGTAAAAAAATCGCAAGTCCGCTCAATCCTCCAAAAAAAAAAGTTTCAACAAATACATACACGTAAATGAAAAACATTTATAATACAATAATTTGACATTGTGCAAGAAAAAAAAATAAAAAAAAACAATGTAAACCGTTTTACAAAGCGTATAAAAATTAACAACAATATTATAACAATTCACATGCTTGATTAGGTTATATTTGGCCGAGATTTACACAAGTCCGTTAATTCAAATATATCAACTTAAAACGTGTGAAAAGTTGCAACCAATTTTGCTGTAAGAAGCATATTATTTTATCTCTTTCCTACACATTGTATTTAGTAGTCGAGTAAACAGGACAACGCATATTTTTACAACTTAATTTCAATATTTGAAATAACGTAACTTGTTACTGTGCGTTACGTATTAACGCGTATAAACATAAGTGTACATTTTTACCTTTTTAAGTGGCCTGTTTATTACAAACATATTAAGATATACAATATCTGTCTATATGTATGTTTAGTTCCTGCGACTTATCTTTGTTTTATGATAATAAATAAAAAATAAATCTACAACAAATGCACATATAAAAAGGTTTTTAAATGAAAATTTTCTGCCTACTTTCAGTAAATATATATAACTTAACCATTCAAAAACAAAGTAGTTAAGCCAAACCAATGTTAGTAAACCCGATCCATGCTTAGTATAGAATTCGGATGATAATAACTACAGTATCGACTACATTAATAACAGGGATCTTGGGGTCTGATTTCAATCACTTCGATATTTATATCTACACGATATAGACTACACTTTTTTTTATATAGACATAGACAGGCAAGGTTTTCACTTGATGATGAACGAAAAACCCCAGCCATAGGACATCTAAACAAGAGGCGCTGTCGAAATATTTTGGTTTTGGATATTCGCAAATCGACAGACTGAAAACGAAACGCGATTAATTTTCACGGCGTTTTCATCTGTGTACGGTGTTTCGTGACCCGGGCTGAATTTCGATATTCCTACCACCCATTTAATAGGATTTTCTGGATTCAGAAAAAATATTAAATGATTAGAAACATGTTAGACCCGATGGGGATCGAATCCAACCCGTTGAATATTAACCATATGTTGCTACCAATAGACCAACTAGCTCGCTAAATAGATATATAATATGTTCTATTTTCAAATTTAAAATACAGTGAACGACTGCGCTGGTTATTTCTCTTTATACCTTTTTTATATATCGTGTAGCATAAATATCGAATAACTAAAAATAGACTCCCAAAGACAAAACAGCCTAACATCGGGTCATTGATCTTTCAGAAACCGCGCACGAAATAGAATTAATAATGATCTACTATTAATCCGTAGTACAATCTACGTTGTATTTTTTTTTTAAATCACTGACCGTTACGATAAAGTACCGTTATCGCTTCTATCGTCGCGCGCGCCTAAAGAGATATGAACCCGGCTTAAACATTACATTTTCAGAATGATTACGTCACTTGACATAACTTTTTCAACTATATCTATGCATCGCCGCAATACGGCCGACTCAAGCAGTAAACTTCTAAATAAAACTTTTTTAAGTTAGTAAATGCTATTAAAATTATGTTTTGAATTCGTTTTCGTACTTTCGCTATGGCATACAAGTGTACTTGTTTTGTTGCACTAATCGTTACTGTGTCGCCATCTCTATCTCTTCCTGTAGAAGTGAGGTGGAGTGGGAGTGGCTTAATTTACTTCTAACGCTTTTTACAGTCTTAATTAGGCGACGATTTAGGAATTATCTAGAAATTTGAACTCAATATCGAAAATCTAAGCTAAAATCTAAGCTTTGTACACGATCGTTTGGCTAAAGGGAACCACTAGCCAATTACAATTATACAACCTGATACCAATCATAATTCACATAAAATTTGTACCTAGACAAGCGGTAAATAATACGCTCCGGTTGGTTATTCTAAAGACTTCGATATTTCGACATGCGACGCATATCTGTCGACTAATGAAAGTTAACTTGCAAGTTATTAGTTAAAAATCACATTGCATCTTGACATTTGCTTAATTTCTTTGTCTACTTGTTATACAAGCGTTACAAAGTTTCCATCACATGCAGCCCTCTGAGATAATATTAGTATATCTTTTTGACCCGACACACAAGTTGATTGCACATAGATTATTCAATGTTATATCCTTTTCATACAAAATCTTGTACCATACGTGTGAGAAGGATAGAATATAGATATTCCTCCACCGAGAAATATTAAGATATTTTAAATACTGGTAATGTATTCAATGTTTTAGACCTGTTAGTATTGTTATGTAGATTTTTAAGGTAACGAGGGCATAAGTAAAGGTGTTAGCGAAACATAATCATCACATCTGTACAAGTGGAACACCTTTACAAATAAATTACATTAAAAAATCACTCATTTAAGTAATAAATACAATAACAACGTAGTGAACACTTCTATACAAAGCGAATGGCGTTTTAAATAGATATTGACTGGGTCTTATAAGTTTAAATAATTCACTGACATAGAAGTGTTCAAACCTCTGATTAGAGAAGTAACATACAATTGTATGTAACATACTATAGATATGTTAGTAGATTTATTTTGAGTTAATTTTATAATTTGCGAAAGTATAGGTTCTCATTAGTTTGTATTTTTTGTTTTCAAATAACAAACAAAATGTCTGTAATTTAGAATAGTTCCCAATGCTGGGACTAATATGGCAATATGAGATTACTCACCCAGTTTGGTCTAACGACTCCAAGACATATCAACATATTTTTGGACATGTTTTGATTTATATGAAGATATTAAGACTTTGGACAACGCAACGTCGAACGTCAGACTAAAATACATAGAACTCAATTTTTAAATCAAAATAACATATCTATAGTACAATTTGATTCATTCTGGACAGTAGTTAGGAATGGTGTCTCCTGCAGTCAGTTTCTGTCAACCAATTGTTTGTAGCCCTCTAACCAGAGTACCCTAAACAAAGACGGCGCCATAGTAAAACGTACAAAGTAAGAACTTTTCCGTTCCGCAAAAAAATCTAGCGTGGAATGTGACGAAGGCCGCCCTTAGCACGACGGCGATTGGTGACTTCATATTTCGACGATTCTATTGTCAATTAACATACATTATCGCTTTACTATATTTAGGTACTCAACGCGCTACGAAGGTAAACGACCCTTTCCAATCACCCTGAGTTTTCACCTGACCGTGTTTTCGCTTATGGTTTCGTTTCGATTCCTTTGAAACAATGTAATATTTAAGAACGTTACAGTGCTTTTTGATCACGAAGTTTCGATAATCGGAAATTATATTCCGTTGTTATTTTCCAAAACCTTCGGGTAGTTTTAAAAACTTTCAAAGCTAGAACGATGCATTCACAGTTTATCGATAGATCAAGGGTCAGCAGATATGTGCAAAAGTGAAAACGTGCGAGATAAACGTGTTACGGGTCATCGATATCGATAACACCGGCCTACGAAGCTGTTATATCGATATTTGTCATCTTCCTTTCACAGCACTATCACGATCTTTTATCGAGTGGACCTTGTTCGATGACATCACTCGTGAGTATGAAGTAAACTGAGAAATAGTTCGCATGCTGGATGTTTTTACCAAAGTAGTACATGTTTTTAATATTTGCAAAAACACAAATAAAACTTACTAACGCGAATGTGTTTTACTTATTATGTAAATGATAAAAATCCCTTAAAATCACGGTCCGGCGAGACTAATTGTAATAAAAACGAAATAACACTAACATCGCAGTGAATGCCAAATTGAAACGTAACATGTGGTAACACAAAGATAGGAACAGCTACGACTCGCCCATTGAACTAAAACCATCACGAAACCTGGAATCACCAAACGCCGCCAGATAACCTGTACAATTAATATCACAGACGCCGACTAGTGGACAACGCCGTTCCTCTGTCGCGGGTAACCGTTGTATTCCACCCTTTTCACCGGCTCCGGCATCGGTTCCGGTTCCACCTTCGCCTTCTTGCCTCGCCTCGGCGCCAGGTACGCCTTGTAGAAGAACCTGGCGAAGAGGACGAAGTACGAGAAGTACATCGCCATGGACAGCTTGATGTTGATCTGGCTGATGCCGCAGGAGTGGGGGGGCGCGGTGGCCATGTAGTTGTGCGCCCAGATGTTGATCGCGCAGCCGACTATCATCTGCGACAGCTGCAGGAAGGTGATGGTCATCGCGAGGAACTTCGGCGGGTACTTGCCCATGCTGACTAGCGCGTAGTAGGAGTACATCACACTGGAAGTAGACGTGTCCAACTTAGTTAATTAGATCACTAGAGGTTTTATTTCAATCTATTATTTCTTAAAACTTATAATTAGGTAAGCATTACTTTACTGACAATCGTATTTACCATTTAACCGAATGTCTAAAGCCAGCGCATCTTGTGTAGGTGTTATATAGCTGGGGTATTTTACCTCGCATCAGGTAAACCACGGGCTTGTCTGTCCTCCAGTATGATTTAAAAAAATGCATTATACCTCAAAAAATATGAAATTAACATCGGATTTTTGTGATATAGTTGTATATTGTGTCGATTGAAAGTACAACAGAGAAATGCAAATCGCAAAACAATTTTCAATAAAAATCCTACTATTATATGTTAATTATGGAATTTTCATTATTCCATTGTAACAGCAATTTTGCTTTTAATTGTAATGAGTGTTGGTAACAAGTTATCATTGGTCATTTAGAAAATAGATCATTGTATTTAAAATAAGCCTAATTTTTATGGCCTTGGATAACAGAGAAGGTAAACATCAGACATAACAAAAACCCAATAGTTTATACGGTGCAAATTTAAATAAAACACTGGAAATTTATTTAAATAAAACACTTTAACGGTTTAAAACGCGATATATTAGTTAAACTTATTAGAAAATGATTTTTAACTTCGGTTCGACGTTTCGGATGTCTCTGACGTCAAAGTAAAAAGTACCACGGCTGCTGCAAAGCATCCAAAACGTCGGGCCGAAGATAAAAATCATTTTCAAATAAGTTTAACTAATATATCGCGTTTTAAACCGTTAAAGTGTTTTATTTAAATGTGTACTACTCGCGTAAACTATAGACAGTATTGGAATTTATTACTTAAACTTTAAAAATAATATTTTCCCGATACTGAGACGGAATGTGGGACCTGAAATTAACGAAATGAGTTTTTATTAACATTAAAATAAACCGCTGATATTTAGAGAAAATAAGTCTATGACACGCTTTGCGCTAACGATTTAATATAAGCTAATTATAGTTGTATGCAATTATCTTAAATATAAGTCAGAGATCACAGTTGAGTTAGTTTCCGTCACGCTCCGAGCGAGAGTGAAACGTGATATAGCACTGAGGTGGAAAAGGGGCAATTCTCATAGAAACGGGCAAACTTTGCTTACAAGAGCAATGATGAAATTGACTAATCGATGATGATACGTTCAAATCTCATTACTCATAGTAAAGAGTTTTTAAAGCTGATAGAAGCCCAGTTCTACAGTAAGCTCACAGGTGTGATAACATCCAGGACCGGGATTCGAACCCTGGATCTTGTGCACATTGTTTGCGTTATGAACTGTTACATTGTGCATATTTTCGATGGAATAACAAATTAAACAGTAAATTAAAAATCGACTCGGGCAGAACTTGAACCGGCATCCGGCATCATCTTCTCACGTCACAGTTCTTAATCATAATTCACAATACGTTGGCACTCTTCAATTAACACGGCTAACGACTGTAATTTTTGATCGCCGTTGACGTCAAATACTTTAACATGCGTTGCTAAATGCCATTTGTTTTGAGAGGAATTATAATATTTATCACGTAAATGATAATTTAAAGTAAATATACCAGTACCAGAAAAGCCTATAATCTCATGCATAATCGATGTTTCATCCGGCTTTGACTTTATTAGAATTAAAACCAGTTAAACTGTAATCTGCACATATGGAAAATGTGTCAATATTTTAAATTATTTATTTGACCGACTCAATTGTCTTTCTTTGCATTAGCCTGTGGCACCGCTGTCCACACTTTATGGACTTACTGATAATCAGTTTTAGGTCAACACAGGGCACTTAAGCTGATAATCAGTTTTAGGTTATACTGTTACGATTAAGTTTATTTTTTTCTATTTAATATGTTAATCTTTTTGTTTGCTTAATAACAAGGCCTTTATGTTTTTATGGGGCTTATATAAATTTATTTCTGTCTATATTCAGTCAACCCGAAAACAAAAATTGGTCTCACCTGTGCACAAAGTAGTTCATGTTGACGAACCAGCGCGCGGACGAAGTGTACTCAGTGAACGAGAACCAGGTGTAGAGTAGCACAGTGATGTGGTGGTACCAGTGGAGGAATATGAGAGGCTTCTTCCTCAGCACGATAAACACCGTGTCACCCAACTCTGGCACCTTCGAGAGCACGAACATGGTCGTCCAGAAACCGGACACCTTGTCTTGCTCGATGAAGCTGAAATTTTAGATTGAAGTTTTAATTTAACTGACAATTTAACTATCATCAGCAGATGACCTGGAAATCTTAGGTATCCAGACTTGAAAACAGGAAGTCCAGGATAGATTGCGATGACAGATCGACTGGAGAGACCCATAAGGGATAGGCCCCTAGCAGGCATTGGTGATGAATAAAATCGTAAATACTTTATTGGACGGTAATTATTCTATAAGATGTAAATTTTTGTCAAGACGGCGGGAAATAAAATATCACATAACAACGAGTTCTGTTTGGAACCAAAGAACGTCACAAGGTGACCTTCAAAATAGTTACTTATTCTATTTGGATGTTTTGTGTCATGGACAAAAAATATGAAAAAGCCTCAGGAAAAGGCATTTTAATGTGTTTTTTAACATAAACAACAGAAGGCCAAGTGATTAAAAGCCTTATTAAAAATAGAGCCTTATAATTTACTGCCAGTTTCTCACAATCCGCCAAAAAATCGACTAAAAAAGCATTCATATTATACAGCGATTACCGACCATTTAAGAATTTGAATAAACTAACAAAAAATGGTCATCGCTTACTTTATTTTCATTATTAACTATGTACATATTATTGTCTTAACCGAAATTTTGCTAATTGGATTCATAATAAATTAAATTATTTTTGATGAGTCGCTTTGTCTAAGATTTGTATATTATATTGAGATTTTTAAAACTCGAATGCAAAACAAGAAAATGTTTTATTTGGAGACAACATTGTTCTATTGTCAAAGTAGGTACTTTGCGTTTTGTACTGTTTACGCCACATAAACAACATCATCACTGAACTGCCTACCAGCTTTTATACTAAACAGAAGAAAAAAAAACACTTAACGAAAAGAGAGATAAAAAATAAACTATTTTGTATTATCAGTACGGCAAAACGTGGGACGGTATGTAATTAGATTTCACGTTTTAATCCGTTTAGAGATGAACAAAATATGATTTGCCTATTATGTAACAACATTAGGAGCAGGACGTATAGGCATTTATGGGCAAGTAGCATGAAGGTATAATTTAACCAAATTGGACTCATTCTTTTAAGTACACGGCAAGTAAACAGACACATTACATCAATAACGATAATCCAGTGAACGTTACGTCATTAATTGCGAAAAACAACCTAGGTCCACAAGGAAATGTCTAAGTTCGTAAGTGATTCTAGAAACAACTAATGGAATCAGAGTTAAAAACATTAATTTATGAAGCTGGATCGTTTGTTTGTTTATTTGAGCGCCCCAATCTCAGGAACGGAAAGGTTCGAATTAAAAATATATTTTTAAGTAGGCAAAAAACGTGGAACGTGGAAAAGTAAGGAAGTCTTATTAGTCGTTATGGTGGTATTAAAATTGTGGTGAATAATTCATATAGCAAAATAGCATCATCAGCAGGTTTATAACAAGTTTTACATATTTAAATAATTGTGCCGTTTAAATTAGTTCGTAAATTAAAACCGCACGAGGCAATTCTGCTTGTAAAATTGAGACAAGTAGTCAGAATACAATACCTATACCTTTCTAAAAGAGAAAGAATGATTAAAACAGACGGTAATAAAGATTCAAATTCTTAAGGCTATATCTGGAAAAAAAGGCTTTTTCATCTATACGTAGTGTTCCGAGGTTCCTACTGACTTTCGAAATAACGCGGCCAAATTTAGTAACGGAAGGAAGTTTGCAAATTTTTGCAAAAAAATCTCTTTACCTGTACAAATTTTTAACTAGTCCGTATACGTCACAATACTTTTACTTTCACGGGCGAGGCGAAGTCTCACACAGTTGGACTTTGACGCCCGTCGAAGCATCAAAGAATGCCGATTTCTTCTATCTTACACAGGTCACGTAATTTAAACGTCAGTAGGTGAATTTTTTGACGACTCGGCAATATTTTTAACACGATATACGGACATTTGATCAGAGAAGTACGAGGTATTTTTTGTATGTTTACACACAGTTACACTTTTAACTGTTTAAAACGCGATTAATGAAGTAGGTGTTTCTGTATAGTAGAAAAGTATTATTTTCACTCGCTGCAGTTATGATGAAAATAAACATTTTAAAATGCATTAATAAATAAAGAAGTAGATTTTACAAATCAAGAATATGTTTTAGGCTTATTCGAAATATATCGTAGGGTACATGATAATAACGTAGACAAAATTATTATAAGCGTGTAGTTAGCAACATTGATTAATCCAAAATATTTACGTATAAATAAAACAAAAGTGTTACGGATAGGATTCAATTTCGGATTATGTCCTGGTAACGTTCTGGCGTTTTTCCAACGATTCTATTCTCCCAACTGTTTCACTTATCCTGTGCTCAGGTTTAGTGATAAAGTATTCCGAATGCGACGTGGCGTCCGTCCCAGTAACCGATGGGGCCCAGTTAGAAAGTGTCCGTTGCGTAATAAGAAAAACGACGACGAGGCTTTATTTAGTGACAGGTCCTAAGCGTTTTACAAATTTTTGTGACATATGACGTCACTAGATCAAGATTTTCACTGCTTAAAACATATTAGATCATTAAATCGGAAATACAATGTAAGAAAATTTAGAAAATATTACACGAAACTCGAGGAAAAAGTAATATTATTATAACTAGTTTTTCTACTACACAAGAACTATTGTTATTCAACAAAGCATTTTACTTTCAAGTGGTAACAACAATTATATCATACAAAGTTAAATAGAAGAAGAATCCTCGCAATAGATAAATAGTTTTTGCTCGCTGTCAATAACAATTAACCATTCTTAATCGTTCGAAGAGAAAAATGTACTCAAAAGAAAAAGGTATTACATAATATAATTTAAAAATAGCTTATTTATTTTATTTATTACAGCTTTATTCATAATACCACTAAAACTACAAGAGATAAACTTACGTACTAACTTATAAATAAAAGGATGCCTTATCGCTATGCAGCGATCTCTTCCAGGCAACCTAAAGTACAGTTGAAAAGAAATAATAAGAAACAAGGCTTATTAAGTGGGTAAGGAATAATAAACAAAAAGCATCGGTACAAACAACGTAAAAGTATACACGACAGCGAGCAAGAGAGACACTAAAGAACGGAGACTTTGAGCTTACATAGTACACCACAAACAAATTTATTACGTTTATTAACATAATTATATAAAAGCATTGATTTAAAAATATTCTTAATTTACTCGTGTACAAACGGATTAAATTATAAATGTCCAAGTACATATAAAAAACGAAATCGTTTGTAAAATACGCGCATATTATCATAACTGATCGAGGTAACTAATCTATGGCTCTTAACTAACTGGCCGTGTTTTTGATTCCCATCGGTCCATAAAACAATTTATGCAGTTTCATAAGCACGTACCATAGGTGTCAGAAAATAGAAAACCTACCAGGGAATTGAATGAAGAAAAATGATATGTAAATTTCGCGGTTCGCGTTCTAGTCTCTGGATTTCAACAAGAAAAATTCCACTACATATAATGAATTACACATCTCTAACTAAACCTCTATCGATGAACATAACTGACATTTAACAGTACAGATTACAACAGACTTAACAGACAGTAGTTCAACATTTTACATGATCTTCAAGGACCATAAAATAAAGTAAAATATACTGTTAACACTAGAATTCGTTCAGCTAAAGTTTGACAGTGCATATCAGTAATATACCTACATGGCGTTTTGCCATCAAAATATAGAGCCTAGCAGAGACTATATTTCTTGAACGCGAGCCAAGCCTTTGGCATCCCATACTGACATACGAGATAGATATATGACATTAAGATGAAATAAGTTTACGTGTTTCATCTTTATTTATTAAAGACAACTTCTTGCTTTACCCCCCTTTTGCGTTCTTGCTTCTCTGGGGCATACAAAACATCTTTCGCGGAAGATCTTTTCAATACTGGTCCAGCCGTTTGAGATATGTGTCAAACGTAAGAGTTCATGTTTATATACATGCGTCGACAGTCGAAAAAAATATTTGTAAATCCTATTATGAAATAAAATAGATCTAGATTCTAGATCTAGATAAATTTACGACCATTTAATTTTGGAACCAATAAAAATTCAGTCTCTTAGGTTCAAGAGCGTGACCTCTGACTCTATTGTTGTTTAAAAACGAGTACGGTCAGCAGCGACATAAAGAACTCCATTTTATTAAATTCACAATAAGAATTGTTAAGATAAAATCAAATTTCAATTTATCTAATCATATTTTAAAATAAAATTATTTTAATATTCTCATTTTATTTCATCGCATGGTGCCAAGAGAATTAGACATGTCCAACAGTAAGGTAACGTATTTATATGTTATATTTATATGTAACATTTATGTTAAATACTAGGTTACGTGCAACGATTTTCATGTGTCACGAATACGTGTAATAGATAAGGAAACAAAATAAATAAATGAGAAAAAAATATCAGGTAACCTTCTAAGCCTCATAATCTCTTCCTAAAATTATGTATTTTGCCAGAAACACATTTGTAAGTTTTTAACACATTAATAAAAATATTGCAACGCTCGCTGTTGACCGTACAAGAAATACAGATTCATTCACGTGCAAGGCGATATGAGCAATTGTGAGTATCGATTCGCTCCGATATTAAGATTTGGGTCTACATTGGCGTAATCCTATCCAACTTCGGCCGTGACTGAAACGTAAATAGGCCCGCCGCGAAGGTTTATTCTCGAAATAATCTCGATTCGTATGCTACTCTAGAATCGAATACAGAGCGGGCAAGTATCATATCTACTAAGTACTGGACGTCTGTAACTTATACTTAAAGCGGGCAGTCTTCACTTTTAATAAAAGGATTATAATTCGTTGTATCACACACGGTGAAAAGAGGCATTTTATTTTTAGAAGTTTTAAATGGCACTAAAAAGTTTTCAAAGGTAAATATAAAGTATTTGTGAGATTTATGTACTAGCATTTATATACTTTGATGTTAATAGATAAAATTGACCACTTAAAGTTCA